AGAGACGACAATTGAGTCAAGCGTGTGAATCGTTCGTTTGTTATGAATTATAGCGTTTGTTTATGTTATAGAGTGACTGTGGAAATTAAGTGTATTGCAAAGTTGTATTGAGAAAGAATAAACTAGTTTTATTTAAGAAAGGACCTGTATCGCTAAAGTTTCTTCGGAAAGAATTTTTACGGAAAATTAACTAATGATCATAGACGTAACAATATGTATCATGAGGTGCAATTAGTTCTGAGAACTCTGCTGATCAGTGTTATAATCATGAGGCTCCACCTCTGGCCAAGATAATAAACCATAGAAGCCCTGTCATGTTTCTTCTAGCCAACCTGAATTTTATTTCACTTTGTACTAAGAAGACAAAATTACCTTTCATAAACTGCACATTAAGTAATCTAGAATTACATATTCATTGAAGTTCAGTCTAGTGGAGCCATTAGGAGTGCAGCAGTCAAATAAAATTGTGTTTACTGACAAGATTATATTTCAATTCTCTTTTTATTTCATATAGTTAACCCAAGTAATGATCACAGGTTTACACACGTGCTCTTACTTGATTACTAACTCCTTTATTACAAAGCCAAAGCATTGCGATGGCTGTTGGACGGTGCTGACGCAATGTGATTTCTGCCAATGAAAACAAAATGAATCACTAAAATCAAATTCACATTGAAATAAAAATATTAAATCAGAACACTAATCTTATTTTATTACTTTTCATTCCTTTTCTGATTTGACATTGTCATCCACTATATTTTAGTAATTAAGTCATTTTAGACTGAGCCTTTTCTTGTGTTTATATTCTACCTTTCACTGGACTGTATTATATTTATATACAGAGGATTGAGTATGTTATAAGAAAATGATTATGAATATGCAAATCAGCAAATCACATGACAATCATAGCTGATATAAAGTTATGGTGGAATGGCATATATCATAACTACATTTTCATTTTATTTGGCATTTCAAAGTTATTGTGATGCCAAAGAAAATTTATAACTTTTTGGAAGGGTATGTGGCACAAAATATTAATAAAATCAGACCATAAATATGTTTATTTGTTTTTTAATTTTGCACAAAGCTACACGAGGGCTATCTGCACTAGCCATTCCTAATTTAGCATTGAAAGACAGCTAGTCATCACCACCCACTGCCAACTCTTGGGCTACTCTTTTACCAATGAATAGTGAGATTGACCATCAGAGTATAATGCCCCTATGGCTGTAAGGGCAAGCATGTTTGATGGGATGGGAATTTGAACCCACAACTCTCAGATTGCGAGTTGAGCACCCTAACCACCTGGCCATGCCAGGCCCCATACACATGTGTTCAGATTAGGGATTTAGAATATCCAAGGTGGGGATAGCTGCTGTACTTAATGGCACTGGGAAACAATGAAATATCCATTAACTTGGGATACCAGGAATATTAAGAAAGAGATCTCCAACAAGTCATACCCCAACCATGGTAAGAAAACCGGGGAGTCTTGTAACAGGTGAGAATACATGACTCAGGAAACAGTATGCAACATAATCAAGAATGATCTTCATCTGGAAAAATAACATAAGTCAAGTGTATACAAGTTGCTTCCATGATATATCAGTTCAACCACTGCATACCTCAAACAGATGAATAATGAAATGGGTATCCATGCTATTTCATATACAGAAATACTGGTGAAGTTGCCAGATGCAATGCTTATGGATTTCTTCAATCAGACTGTTGAAGTGGGTTCTGAGAAACCACTGTCCTTGTACATTAGATGGATATGAAAAGTTTGCAAGGAATGGTGGTGTGCTTTGGACATGATAGCTTTATAATGAAGCCTTTTGCAATAAACTATGGTGCAGGGCTATTGTTAATATACTCAGTCATCAGATAAAGCATGAATAGATGTGGTGATATGGATTTTAATGATGTGGTAAGGTTCCAAAATAGTTTTAATATAATATACTAAACTTATGTATAACTGAACACTGCAAGGCATAAATGTATTTTATTGGCTAAAATCATACTTAACATAAGAAACATGAGTTCACCTATTACGATGCATATGACTAATGTGCTTTCCTGTAGTTCCTTTTTTCAAGCATGAAATATTGTCCTTTCTCTGAAATAACATTAGCAAAAAATATATATACATATATATCTATATATAATTATAATCAATGCTTTTAGTTAATTAAAATACAAAATTAACATTCTATTGAAAAATAAACTTAGCAGCTAATATTTGATTGCTCCATTAAAGAACATTAAGTAGTTCTTACACAATTGTATATGATCTATTAAAAAAAATTTATATGCATGTACACTGTGTGTGCATGTATATGAATTATTATCCTACCACACTTTCTTTTATATATGATGAATGAAATTTGAAAATACCAAAGTTTACTTGATAAATTACTGCAGCTGGAACAAATTTGAAATTTGGGGAGTAACTTAGCATTTCTTAATCCACTGTTTAAAATTCAGATCCCATACTAATCCTATCAACTTGCTATAAAAATATTCAGTTAAAAAACAAATGATATATTCAACAGCAAAGGACACTATATCAGAAACACTCAAAGAAGTATACTGGATCCACCACTAAGTGGCTACCTGTGCTCTGTCCACTGGATGAGGGGAGAATGAATGAATTATATAACAGTAAAACCATGAAATATGTCATGTTACTTCATAATATGTTTTCACTGAGTGATTTTGCAGTAGAAGCTGATTATAAGTAGAACTGAAGATGTGAAGCAATTATGGATTTGAAACATGCTAATATAAATACAATCCTATATCAAAAGAACTTTGCTTATACCTTCTTCTATTCAAACATAAATGTACTTAGATTGGAATTTATATACTTCTCCTAGAGAGACATAAGCAGTTTCAGTTACACAAGAAAATCTCCTGGATATGATTTTTTAAATTTAGCAGATGTGAAATAACTAACCGGTTTCTGTGAATACATTTTACATTCTGACACACAAGATATGCTACAGCAGGGCAGAGCTCGTTCACGTCGTTTTGGAAGCTTTCTGCCAGGATGACCACATATTATTTCAGGTGCAGATGTCAAGTTGCTTGAGGAGTCACTTTCAGGATCATCTGTTGTATCAGTTAATTAAACCAATATTCATCTTGTAACTAAACAGTAGTGTAACCTATTTATAATAATTTGCAGATTCACTGTTTTACTTACATTGGTACAGAAATATTGTTTCTTAGCTTCAAAATTTATGCAAAAAATACTAAAATAAACAGTAAAGATGTTCATTTAGGAAATTTAAATGCAAAAATATCCAAAATTCCAGTGAAGCAAATTTTTGTATTGATGTTTCGTTATAAATTATCATTGTATTGGGTTTTATATATATATATATTTAGGATACTAAAATCAGTGCTCAAAGTGAGGGGATAAAAGGGGGTATGACATATCTCCACTTCTTAAAATCAAAGCTATTCAAATTACTTCTTTTTCTTCTTATAAAGTTCATCCCTGAATTTTTGAGCCCACCCACTGAGGCCTGCCAATACCCTACTTATTTTTCTACTCTTCAAGTATTGACTAAAATAGTCAGTTGAAGATAAAACTTAATCTGGTACTAACAATGTTACAAGTATATGTGCTTAAATACTTAAATATATTCACTATGTACTAAGAATTGTATGTATTCACATATGGTTTCAAATAGACTGTTTCTCATAAAAGTGAACATTGTTTCCTTATGTTTAAAAAGAACAAAGAATACTCATTTGAATAGAAGTGACTGTGGTATATTTAAACAGAAGTGACATTAGGTATACTTAAACAAAAGTGATATTATAATTCAAAGTGTACATCAGTGTTGTAGGTCTCGGTCTCAATGTTTTACAGGTACTGAAAACGAGACCAGCTAAATTTAAAAGTTTTATCAGTATTAGACCAGTCACCTACCTAGGATTATTGAGTACTAAGTATCGATTACACAGCAGTTCATATGAGGCATGGTGTACTACACCTTTGCAATGATGTTTATAATTCCTATCTAATGGTGGTTACGTTGCCAACCACCGTATTGTCTGTACACCGATTCACAGTTATAACACATGCTATTCAAAGTTAACTGCTACTATACATTGCATTATGCATAGGCTTACTACAAGTTTGTTAGAACTTCATCTGGTGCATCTATTTATGTCAAACTTTATAAATTATCCTTGATATTCAACATGTTTAGTAGATGTGCTGTGATCCTGTTTGGCTCCAAAGATTATAAAGAATTTACTGACACTAATACTGGTTTTAGTTTTACTTGCTGACCTTTTTGATTTTTTTTATTCATTCATTAGCTTTTTTTTTCACAGGAGAAGACATTAAAACAATGACTGTGGGGTTAACGTGTAAAATAATTGCAATTAAGGTGTTAATAAAGTTTGTTTGATACATGTAATTTTTATTCTTCTTGCTATATTTCTTCTTGTGTAATTTATTACAAGGTCTCGGTCACAGTCTTGGTCTCGGCCCCTAAAATCTGTCTTGGTCTTGAACCCTCTTGGACATTGAGGTCTCGACTAAAATGCTGGTAAAGGTAATAAAATTAAATGCTGGCAAAACACTCCATTACTTAAACCAAGTGTTACTGTGTGAAGACTACATAACATCATATGGCACTGTATAACACATGTTGACCTGGAACTTAAATTATTCATAATTTTTCTACCATCATTACGGGCATGCCTAACCCTGAAACTAGCAAAATAGATGTAGTGTACCTCATTTATTCAAGCTTATAATCAAAATCTCTTTCAAACACACAGACATATTAATTGTCAAGGACATAGCATAGTATTTGTAATATGCTAGTAAAAGTTAATTATCATACAAAAACAACTGTTTGCTAATTTTGATTTTTATATATAAAAAAAAATTGCCCCGTATTGAATAAACTGCAGGAAAAGACTCTGAACAATTTAGGTGGAGATTAGTTGGGATGGTAAAGTTTGTTTAAATTATTTGCATGTGCAGTATTTACATTGTATACATTTTTCTTTGCAGAAAAACTGTAAAATATTTACAGAAAAAATGTAACTACTAAGTGATTTTTTCTTTTTCTTTCTGACAACTAATGATTAATTTAATGTGGTCTAATGTTGTAATCTTTAGTCAGTGATCCTCTCATGTCTATATGTTTCAATAATATACAGCCATTGAATAATAGTCATAATTTAAAACTTTGTATTAACCTCATCAATCAAGATTACATAGAGTTATATAAATCTCTAGGTCATTTTGAAAATCAGTGCTCTGCTAAGTGTTCTAAGTTCCATTTTTATAATTATCTGAAGAACGTTTCATTAATATACTTACCTTAGAAATTATAAAAGACAACAACAAAGCCCTATGAAGTTATCAAATAAAAATAAAGTTGATTTAACAGATTCTAAACATCCAAAAATACAAAAATGCAGCATCAGAATAACAAAAAAATCACATACCACTTTCATCAGTAGATAAGATATCCACATAATTCTTATCAACAATCAGCTGTTTTTTTTCCATTTCAAAGAAGGAGTTAGTAAATGTTTCAGACTGAGTAGAAAATGACAACCCATCCAGCATCTGGAGCTGTGGGATAGCAGTTTTAACTGCTTTTCTATAATCATCTGATACAAATGTTTCCTCCTAGAAAACAATGATAAGAATCAAACTCTGAATGATAAATTTATATTTATTATTGTTAACTAAAATAAGTTATTGTAGGTATACTATTGGCAAATGCACTAAAAGTTTATTATAACTGTGTAGAGAATGTATTCATTAACCTCTGTTATGCAATTTAATACAGTTGATATTTAAAAAACACAATTCATAAATACCAATCCCTTTTTAATACTACATCATGAATAAACTTTAATGTGTTAATTTTTTGTAGTAATGATAAAATAATTATATTAAAATAATAAATTGAAATTAAGATACTTTTAGCAAAAACAAAATTTTAAACTATGAATAAAAACCCTATACATAAAATGAACAAAACATTAATCAAACAGTTAATATTCATATAATAATGATTATAGTTTACTAACCTCATTTTCTGACTTTATGAAAGCTTGGCAAATAGGGTTTTCTTCTAGTGTTATAAAAGCCAAATCTGGACATAAGGACAATACCTCGATGTTTTCAAAACAGCTTATCTGATTTCTGTAAATATAAAATTGAATATTATCTTCAAAACACTTAAATAAATTACTTGTACCTAGAATTTCCTAAATCAGTAAACAAATAGCAGTTTTATTTAAAAGTTATAATATTCTTTAATGTTTTTTATGTAATTTAACACAGTTAATATATGAAAACAAAACTATGATAGAAAGTAGGTTTAATGTTATATTTTGAAATACATAACCACTTTGTAGGAGGAAAAAGTGCCTTTAAAAAGATTCAAATTATATTTTATTCACCTTGAATAAAGAAATTGTTAAAAGTAAGCATTTCAAAGAAAGTTATTAAAATGTAGAGAGAAACAAATATGGTTAACATCATATGCTCCCCAGTGGCTCAGCTATAAGTCTGAAAGCTTATACTGCTAAAAATTAGATTCTGATACCCAAGGTGAGCACAGCACAGATAACCCATTGTGTAGCTTTGCAATTAAGAACATACAAAAATAAGCATTATGATATGTTTAATCCAGAGGTTTATAAACAGAACCTTTAAATGCATATAAGCTTTCACTTTCCAAAAGAGTTCACTTAGATTATGTTATAGTCAAATAGAGATACAGAAACAGTATGCTAGATACAATACAGTTAACCAGGAGCAGATGCAGACTCTGATAATGATTTAGTAGTATTAACTTCAAAGCTGAAACTAAAGAAAATCAGCCTAAGCAAGAGAAGAAACATGGAATGTTAATTTAATAAAATGACAGAAAGGAGTAACATTCAAAGTACAGATCGAAGAAGCAACAAAGAAAGTAAAACAAGTACACAACATGAGGGGCTTGAGTGTACAAGAATGTTGGATGAGTATAAAGAACAGAATACTCCTAAGTGCAGAAAATAAAAATGGCAGACAGACAAGTAGAAAATAGAAGAAACCTTGGATAACAAAGAAAATAACAAAAAAATGAAGGAGAGAGGAAAATGGAAGAATGTCAACAAGGAAGAGGGAAAAAAAGAATACAGGAAAAGGAACAATATAGTGAGAAGAGAAACTGATAAAGCAAGAGAAACAGACAAAAAATGTAAACTTACTATACAAAGAAGTGAAACAATTCAGAAGAAAATGCTAATGCAAGTGGTACCATACAAGCAGAGGAAGCAGGAAAGTTAATATTTTCCAACACTGGAAATGTATTTCTGATAGGTACTTACCACCTCTCACATATTAGCTTTTCCCAATTTTGTGTTGCAATTTTTTGCTTGCCACTAACCTTGAAACGCCCACCTAAACTTGCATGTTTCCATTTGAGCATGTTACAAGTCTCTACCAATAGGAGTGTGACACACCCTCCTAGTACAGCTGACTCCTTCTATACTAATTATTTAATCATCACTTTGAGATTAGACAATAAAAGATGCACCGGAAGTGAGGAGGAAGGGTGGAAAGTGTAAGATGAGGTAAGAATCTATTGGAAATACATTTTCAGTGTTGGAAAATATTAACTTTCAATATGATTTCTGAAAGGATGTGGAACAAGAGAAGTGAGTGTAGTAATGGGAAAAGGATTGGAATTTAAGTGAGAGATATTTATCTGTTTCGTAGATTTTGAAAAGCATTTGATAGATAGAGTAAATTGGAATGCCTTATTCAATGTACTCAAAAAGATCAGAGTGGACTGAAAAGATAGAAGGGCGATTGGAACTTTGTACACGGGTTAGACAGCAAAAGTGTGAACAGCTGATGGTGAATGAGATGATGCAATAATTGGTAGAAGTGTAAGGCAGGGATGCATGTTATCACCAACACTTTTTAATGTCTACATGGAGTCAATGATAAAAGAAGCATGAGAAACCTGACTAAAGATCAATGACTGGAGGAAAAATAGCCTGATTTTCCAGATTTGCATACGACAAGGCAGCACTGGCTAATACAAAAAAGGGCTACAACTTTTAGTTACAAAGCTAAATGAAGCAATGAAAGATTTTACAAGGATAACAAACATGAAAGAGACTAAAGTGATGAGGGCATCATGGAAAGAAAGTAGAAAACTAAATATTACTGTTAAAGGTTAAAAGCTGGAAGAGGTGAGTTTCACTACTTGGGTAGTATTATTGTATCAGATGGCCTGTGTTCTAAAGAAATGAGATCCAGATTTAGAATGGCTAAAGAAGCCTTCAGAAAGAAAAAGGAGCTACTAATTAAACATTTGAGAGGAAACTGAAGAACTGAATAATATACAGATAGGCAAAATAAGGATCCAAGACATTTGCAATGTGTAAGGAAGACACAGAGACTAGAATGCTTTGAAATGTGGATTTGACAAAGAGTCATGAAAATAAGTCAGGCTGAAAAAAAAAGACAAATGATGAAGTTCTGTATCAGGATGGAGAAGAAAGTTATCTTGTCCAACCAGTCATGAGGAGGAAGAAAAACTGGAGTGGGCATGTACTGAGAGAAAATGGTCTGATGAAGAAGGTGATCAAGGGAAGGTTCCGTGTGAGAAGATCAAGAGGAAGGAAAAAGATGATGATGCTAGATGATGTCCAACAAGGAAGAACTTATGGACAAATGAAGAGATCAGCTGAAAAAACAGCTAAAAGGAGGGAAGAATTGTGCCTCAGACGAGTCATCAGATCACAATTTTTTAAGTAATTTTTTTCAATTATTCTACCTTATAATGTTCAAAACATGTGGATGTATATATAAAAAAAACACATAATGCATGCACTTTACCTTTTAACATCTAATGTTGTTAGTTTCTCCAACAAAACACATGGTGAAGTATCTCCTAATTTGTTGTAGGATGCATAAAGTTCTTTAAGACATGTAAAGTTTCCAATCCCATCAAAGCTTGAGAGACCACAGCGAGATACCCGCAAAATAGATAAATTTGGAAGACTTGTCCCAATTATCCTAAGTTAAAAAGGGAAAAAAGGTGTATATTGTTTTTATACACAAAAATGGCCCATTGTTCTTGTAATCAAGAAAAATAAAACTATCTGGGTGTTGTACAACTGCAGGACTTAATGTTGTGCTAAATTACAAAACTTATCACTTTTCAACTTCTAAGAAATTGACAAATATATTAATATAGATGATTAATTAATGCTTCTAAAAGGCTTTTTTAAAATACTTCTCATTTTGAATCTGAAATTGGCAAATTAAGAGGAATGTGGGAGAAAAACATGTACATTTTAC